CCGCGTCCGCCTGTCGCTAGATACGTCCGTGTCCGCCTGTCGCTAGATACGTCCGTGTCCGCCTGTCGCTAGATACATCCGGCTGTCGCTAGATACGTCCGCGTCCGTCTGTCGCTAGATACGTCCGCCTGTCGCTAGATACGTCCGCCTGTCGCTAGATACGGCCACGTCCGCCTGTTGCTAGATATGGCCACGTCCGGCTGTCGCTAGATACGTCCGCGTCCGCCTGTCTCTAGATCCGTCCGCGTCCGCCTGTCGCTAGATACGTCCGCCTGTCTCTAGATACGTCCGCCTGTCTCTAGATCCGTCCGCGTCCGCCTGTCGCTAGATACGTCCGCCTGTCTCTAGATACGTCCGCCTGTCTCTAGATACGTCCGCGTCCGCCTGTTGCTAGATACATCCGCGTCCGCCTGTTGCTAGATACGTCCACCTGTCGCTAGATGCGTCCACGTCCGCCTGTCTCTAGATACGTCCACCTGTCGCTAGATACTTCGATACATCCGCCTGTCGCTAGATACTTTGATACATCCGCCTATCGCTAGATAAGTCGATACGTCCGCCTGTCGCTAGATACGTCCGCGTCCGCCTGTCGCTAGATACGTCCGCAGCCGTCTGTCGCTAGATACGTCCGCGTCCATCTGTCTCTAGATACGTCCGCCTGTCGCTAGATACGTCGACACGTCCGCCTGTCGCTAGATACGTCCGCGTCCGTCTGTCGCTAGATACGTCCGCGGCCGTCTGTCGCTAGATACGTCCGCGTCCGTCTGTCTCTAGATACGTCCGCGTCCGTCTGTCTCTAGATACGTCCGCGTCCGTCTGTCGCTAGATACGTCCGCGTCCGTCTGTCGCTAGATACGTCCGCGTCCGTCTGTCGCTAGATACGTCCGCGTCCGTCTGTCGCTAGATACGTCCGCGTCTTTCCGTCGCTAGATACGTCCGCGTCTTTCCGTCGCTAGATACGTCCGCGTCTTTCCGTCGCTAGATACGTCCGCGTCTGTCTGTCGTTAGATACGTCCGCGTCCGTCTGTCTCTAGATACGTTCGCGTCCGTCTGTCTCTAGATACGTCCGCGTCCGTCTGTCGCTAGATACGTCCGCGTTCGTTTGTCTCTAGATACGTCCGCGTCCGTCTGTCGCTAGATATGTCCGCCTGTCTCTAGATACGTCCGCGTCTGTCTGTCCTAAGATACGTCCGCATCTATCCGTCTCTAGATACGTCCGCATCCGTCTGTCTCTAGATATGTCCGCGTCCGTCTGTCTCTAGATATGTCCGCGTCCGTCTGTCGCTAGATACGTCCGCGTCCGCCTGTCGCTAGATATGTCCGTGTCCGTCTGTCGCTAGATACGTCCGCCTGTCGCTAGATACGTCCGCCTGTCGCTAGATACGTCCGCCTGTCGCTAGATAAGTCCGCCTGTCGCTAGATAAGTCCGCGTCCGCCTGTCGCTAGATACGTCCGCGTCCGCCTGTCGCTAGATACGTCCGCGTCCGTTTGTCGCTAGATACGTCCGCCTGTCGCTAGATATGTCCGCGTCCGCCTGTCGCTAGATACGTCCGTGTCCGCCTGTCGCTAGATACGTTCGTGTCCGCCTGTCGCTAGATACATCCGGCTGTCGCTAGATACGTCCGCGTCCGTCTGTCGCTAGATACGTCCGCCTGTCGCTAGATACGTCCGCCTGTCGCTAGATACGGCCACGTCCGCCTGTCGCTAGATACGGCCACGTCTGGCTGTCGCTAGATACGTCCGCGTCCGCCTGTCTCTAGATCCGTCCGCGTCCGCCTGTCGCTAGATACGTCCGCCTGTCTCTAGATACGTCCGCCTGTCGCTAGATACGTCCGCGTCCGCCTGTTGCTAGATACATCCGCGTCCGCCTGTTGCTAGATGCGTCCACGTCCGCCTGTCTCTAGATACGTCCACCTGTCGCTAGATACTTCGATACATCCGACTGTCGCTAGATACGTCCGCGTCCGCCTGTCGCTAGATACGTCCGCAGCCGTCTGTCACTAGATACGTCCGCGTCCATCTGTCTCTAGATACGTCCGCCTGTCGCTAGATACGTCGACACGTCCGCCTGTCGCTAGATACGTCCGCGGCCGTCTGTCGCTAGATATGTCCGCGGCCGTCTGTCGCTAGATACGTCCGCGGCCGTCTGTCGCTAGATACGTCCGCGGCCGTCTGTCGCTAGATACGTCCGCGTCCGTCTGTCGCTAGATACGTCCGCGTCCGTCTGTCGCTAGATACGTCCGCGTCCGTCTGTCGCTAGATACGTCCGCGTCTTTCCGTCGCTAGATACATCCGCGTCTTTCCGTCGCTAGATACGTCCGCGTCTTTCCGTCGCTAGATACGTCCGCGTCTGTCTGTCGTTAGATACGTCCGTGTCCGTCTGTCGTTAGATACGTCCGTGTCCGTCTGTCTCTAGATACGTCCGCGTCCGTCTGTCTCTAGATACGTCCGCGTCCGTCTGTCGCTAGATACGTCCGCGTTCGTTTGTCTCTAGATACGTCCGCGTCCGTCTGTCGTTAGATACGTCCGCGTCCGTCTGTCGCTAGATATGTCCGCCTGTCTCTAGATACGTCCGCGTCTGTCTGTCCTAAGATACGTCCGCGTCTATCCGTCTCTAGATACGTCCGCGTCTATCCGTCTCTAGATACGTCCGCGTCTGTCTGTCGCTAGATACGTCCGCGTCTGTCTGTCGCCAGCTACGTCCGCGTCTGTCTGTCGCCAGCTACGTCTGCGTCTGTCTCTCGCTAGATACGTCCGCGTCTATCCGTCTCTAGATACGTCCGCGTCTGTCTGTCGCTAGATACGTCCGCGTCTGTCTGTCTCTAGACACGTCCGCGTCTGTCTGTCTCTAGATACGTCCGCGTCTGTCTGTCGCCAGCTACGTCCGCGTCTGCCTGTCTCCAGCTACGTCCGCGTCTGCCTGTCTCCAGCTACGTCCGCGTCTGCCTGTCTCCAGCTACGTCCGCGTCCGCCTGTCGCTAGATACGCCCGCCTGTCGCTAGATACGTCCGCCTGTCGCTAGATACGTCCGCGTCTGTCTGTCGCCAGCTACGTCCGCGTCTGCCTGTCTCCAGCTACGTCCGCGTCTGCCTGTCTCCAGCTACGTCCGCGTCTGCCTCTCTCCAGCTACGTCTGCCTGTCACTAGATATGTCCGCGTCCACCTGTCGCTAGATACGTCCGCCTGTCGCTAGATACGTCCGCCTGTCGCTAGATACGTCCGTCTGTCGCTAGATACGTCCGCGTCCGTCCGTCGCTAGATACGTCAGCCCGTCACTAGACTAGATACGTCCGCGTCCGTCACTAGACTAGATACGTCCGCGTCAGTCAATACACTAGATACGTTCGCGTCCGTCAATACACTAGATACGTCCGCGTCAGTCAATACACTAGATACGTCTGTCTGTCGCTAGATACGTCCGCGTCCGTCCGTCGCTAGATACGTCAGCCCGTCACTAGACTAGATACGTCCGCGTCCGTCACTAGACTAGATACGTCCTCGTCCGTCAATACACTAGATACGTCCGCGTCCGTCAATACACTAGATACGTCCGCGTCCGTCACTAGACTAGATGCGTACGCGTCCGTCACTAGACGCGTACGCTTCCGTCACTAGATGCGTACGCGTACGCTCACTAGATGCGTACGCGTACGCTCACTAGATACGTACGCGTACGCTCACTAGATGCGTACGCGTACGCTCACTAGATGCGTACGCGTACGCTCACTAGATGCGTACGCGTACGCTCACTAGATGCGTACGCGTCCGTCACTAGATGTGTACGCGTCCGTTACTAGATGCGTACGCGTTCGTCACTAGATGCGTACGCTCACTAGTTACGTACGCGTACGTTCACTAGATACGTACGCGAACGCTCACTATCTCCCTCCCACCTGCTGGTCTGCAGCTGGTCGATGCGCCGCAGTGGCAGCTCCCATTGGAGGCTTCAGGATCCCGCCCATCCCCACCTCCCCATCGGACTCTGATGTTGTATCTGTGCTGTCTGTGCTTCCATGTGAAAGGAGTTTTTTTTTGTATAATAGAGTTACTCCCAGCTGGAGCTAACTCTGCTATGCCTTTTTTTTACCTACCCCCACTTATCCTCATGTAACACCCTTTTCATCTATCTATTAAGGTAGCGCGACTCATGTTGCGAATGACCGCAGTCACCAATTCTTGTTATGTGTCTTACCCACGTATGTCTGATCTTTGAATTGTGTGTGCTGAAACTGAATTTCATTTCTCAGTATGTCCTGCACATGTGGTAGAAATGACAATAAATGACTTTGACTTGACTTGACTAGATACGTCCGCGTACGCTCACTAGATGCGTCCGCGTCCGTCACTAGATGCGTCCGCGTCCGTCACTAGATACGTACGAGTCCGTCACTAGATACGTACGAGTCCGTCACTAGATACGTCCGCGTACGCTCACTAGATACGTCCGCGTACGCTCACTAGATACGTCCGCGTACGCTCACTAGATACGTCCGCGTACGCTCACTAGATACGTCCGCGTACGCTCACTAGATACGTCCGCGTACGCTCACTAGATACGTCCGCGTACGCTCACTAGATACGTCCGCGTACGCTCACTAGATACGTCCGCGTACGCTCACTAGATACGTCCGCGTACGCTCACTAGATACGTTCGCGTCTGTCACTAGATACGTACGCGTCTGTCACTAGATACGTTTGTCTCATACTTTTTTGAGGCGGAATGACGATGCTGTTGACTAAGTTAAAAGAAGCGGCATCCTGACCAATCACAGGTTTGCAGACAGATATTTAGAAAGGTGGGCTCTACTCTGTCCTTGCAACTACAGACAAAGGCATTGCGTGTCACTGGACCGATGCAGACGAAGAAGTATAAACTAGCCTTAAGATCCACGCTGCTCTAGCAACAGTCCATGACACCCGTCACCTCCCAGCGCTGCAAAGAGCAGCAGGTCCAGAAGCTAGCACGTCTGGTTGACCGACCCTGACCTGAGATGCACCAACCTCGTCTAGGTCCAGTTTGTCGGTGCTCCTGTCCTGGTTCACCACGTAACCAGGGGGAAGCCAGTTCACAGGAGGATCAAAGATGGACACCACCATTCTGCTGGGGAGACCCTTCTTCTTCCCCAAACGGTACAGGTTACAGTTGCTCACCTGGAGGACAGGTAGACAAGGTCAGTGGGGTAAGGACATTCTCAACCAACAACAATCCATAGAGCTCCACCAGGTCCAATCTCTTAGCTTTTTTATGATAACGTTTTTATCTTCAGAGTGGTGGTAGCATGAGGACGGAGGTTGACGGTGCTGATTCTGCAGCTATGTGTTTAGATGAAAACTGTTTATCAGATACTAGGGGTGGGAATTGATAAGCTTTTATTAATATCAGTGGCATTGTTGACTCAATCGATCCAGTTCCCTCATCCATTCCAGAGTAGTCAAACAGGAGGGAAAAACTAACTACGCACAGCTGCTGCAATAACTGTCAGCCTCTGTATGATAAATGATCAGCTGTACCTGTACGGGTTGGAAACACCTTTCCAAATGTTCTCCTTTATGCTCCCTGTGAAGGCGGAGTCATCTTCTGGTTCGGTGCAGTGTGGCTGCAGCTTCAGCAGAGTGGGAAACATCTCCCCACAGGTCAGACCTTTGTCCCTGGAGTCTGCTAGTGTGAAGGTGTGTATATAAGGCTGATGGCGCTAACATGACAGGCTGCTAGCTGGTTAGTTACCTGCACTGTGATTTTCGTCTTGAGAGGCGCTTTACAAAAGATCGTTTTCTTCCTCTCCTCATTAACAGGAGACGATGTGCAAAGTTCTCGAAGCGGGTCAACACGTGTCGGTAACTTTAGGTTATCTCGTATTTTGTGCCCAAAGGCTTTTGTATATTTTTGATGCTTCCTCTACTTTGCAATTATTGCCGGTTACCCTGTTGTCGTGCTTTCTTGTAAAGTATAACCAAACGTTTGTGCCGCATAGACGCCATGTTTTCTGCTTCCGTAAGCTATGCAACGTGCGCGGTGACGTCATTTGTGACTATTGGAACTAATAAGGTGAATTGTTTACAAAAGTGGTGAACGATTCCTAGGAATTGAAACAATGGGTACCGGTTCTCGATTTTAATCCATATCAGCTACACTTGTGTTCCCTCACAGAGCACTGCTCACCCATCTGCTGGGTTCTGGACCCCTAATCCTGGTCTTCTGCCTCACCTTTTTGCTGCGCATGTAGCTGAGCCGGCCCTCATGGGCATCCGAGTAGGTGCAGAACAGGTAGGTAGTGATGGCGTGTTTCAGGAAGGAGTCTCCCAGCATCTCCAAGCGCTCCAGGTTGAATCCGTCGCTGGCATTGGACAGAGTCAGAGCCTGCAAGATCAGGCCGGGGTTGGGCCCCAGGTTCCTGGGGGAGTCTTGGTTGACGGTGAGGTTGGGGAAGTCTGAGGTAGCGTTGTCATGGTGAGAGGTTCTCTCTGTGGTACATTCATGCAGGGGGTGGGGAGGACAGGGGCTGAGGAGGTGTGGCACAGGAACTGAGGTAGAGTCAAATCTGGGTTCGGAAGAGCTGCACTCCTGTTGGTGCCCGTCGCGGTCAAATGTAGTGCCGTTGGTTAGGGTCTGGGTGCAGGGACCCTGGGGATGGCTGGGAAGTGTTTGGGGGGTGAGATTCTGGTGCCTACAGTCAGCTTCATCAGTGCAGGACTCGGGACAGGAGCTGAATGTCTTGATATCGATGGATCTCTTCCAGCCAAAGTCCAGGTTCGGGTACCTGGCACAGACAGAATGGGTCGCTTCAGCTTGATAAAGTGCAGACTACACACCCACAGGGAACAAAGGGAAAGGGGTCAGAGGTCACCAGTAGATACATCTGTTCTTTAAAACATATGAAGTGGGCTGTTCAATCAGGAAGAGCCCGGTTCTGATCTGGATCAGTCAGAAACGGACCGAGAAGCCCAGCTGAGTCAGACTTGAATCAGAACATCCAGATTTTACTGGTTTCTATTTTAGGAGCTTCATGTTGGTTGGACGGGTGATCGCCAGATGAATCTTTGTAAGAGAGGTTTGAAGCTCAGAAGGAATAAACCAGGTTTCAGCTCCAGCAGAACCACTCAGAGGGTTTTATGGTGCGACACAAGGTGGACTTTTTCCAGCTGAGCTCAGTCTGAGGGTTTAGTTCTGACCCGATTGCTACTGCGGGGACTGACCTGTATGGAACTTTAGCCTCGAGTTTTAAACATCAGGTAAGAAATTTGGGAGTCATGGGACAAGCAGCTTGATTTGTTTGTGAAGACCAGCTTCTTTAAGCCCTGTCTTTTGGCTCAAGTAAACTACAACTACTACTACTACAACCTAGAAGGAGCCATACAAGCTTTTATCAGCTTCCTTTTGGACTACTGCAATGCTCTGTATACAGATCTAGCAAAGAAGAGCAGCTAGTCCAAAACACAGTAGCACATCTGCTCAGTCCTCTGCTCATTTCTTCATTGTGGTGCTTAAATGTATGCACCTGCCTAATATTGCTATTGCATACTTTCTAACTCCTATAAACACCAGTGTGTGATAAATGTAATGTTTATACAGGAAAACCATGGAGATGAACAAGGCAGCCAAACTTTCACACCCTACTGTAACCAGGGGCGTCGGACTGGGGGGGGGGTACCGTTTACCCAGGGCCCACTGCAGGGAGGGGCCCTGAGACAGCTTTGAATAAAAATGTTTTATTGTTGTTATTTTTTTTCCCCAACTTACTTAATGTCTTAATAAACTTCCCTTTACCTGGATAAAGAGGTTAAGAAACAGAATTTCGCCTTAAAAATAATAACTGAATAATCTCTGAGGCATCTATCACCCCTTAAAAATGTGCAAAGTGGTTTAGTCCACACCAGCGGCCAGGGGCTGCACGGCTGCATGTACAGCTATGAGACATCACAGATGCCGACAGCCAGAGCTGGAGGCAGGAGAGTCAGTCATGTCTTTTCCCAAGAAAGGGAAATCTGGCTTCCAGAAAAGAAAAGAAGGAGAAAAAGTTAATTGAACAGAAGCAAGTAGAAGGACGGTGAGCAGCAGCAGCAGAACACAGTTTTAGCTGATATTAGCTAGCTCTCAGAAGCTGCATTCATGTTAGGTGTTCAGTGTTAAATGCCTTTAGTGTCACCATCAAGATCAAATATTAATTAATTAGTGTTATCAGTGAAAACACTAATTAATATATATATATTAACCAGAATTATTATCGCGGGCGGCCGCCGCCAATTAATTCGCGGACCTCGCAGTAAAAACAGGTTCAGTCTGTGTGGATATTTCAGCTCCTTCCCGGTCATGGACCAGGACAAACTTGGTATCGATGGATTCGTGGTAATCTCAGGAATGAGAAGCTGCCACTGCTTTTCGTATAGCATGATGACACTGGTGTTAGAGGATTGTTATTGACTTGGTTAGATATTTTAAGCCTATTTTAAAATTCTTTATATTTGATCTTGAAAACGGACACTCTTAGAATTGGGCTGATAATGCAGGGATTATAAAATTTAGAGTACATTACATTCACAGAGAGAACCTGGTTTATTTCATGTCATATGTATTTAATCTATCAATATATATCAGCAAAGCTTAACATCATGAACCATGACAGACATGACTGAAGAGCAGATGAAGATATCATGCCAGGCACTGATGAGAAAATATTACAAGGATCTCACAGCTGAATTTGAGAATGAGATGCTACACCTGAGAACAATATATGGTGCCACATTTCCACACATTCGGTCTCCTCTTGAGCTGCTTAATGCCATCTACAGGATGCAATTACAGAGCATTTTTGGAGAAGTTTGTATTAAACTGAGGATATTTTGCACACTACCTGTGACTGTTGCTGGGGGTGAACGGGCTTTTAGCAAACTGAAACTGGTGAAAAATGATTTGAGATCAACAATGTCCCAGGATAGACTGAACAGCCTAGCTCTTCTTTCTATTGAAAGCCAATTAGCCAAAGGATTTGACTTTAAAGATCTCATAAGTGATTTTGCTAACATGAAGACCCGTCAGTGGGCATTTACTGGAAAATAAATTCCAGGATTTTTGTTTGAACACATTGTTGGCAAATAAAAATAATTATATGTGAAGTCTGGGCATTTCACTTTTATTATGCTGGCATTTGTATTTGCTCAATATAGAGGTGAAACTAAGATCATATTTATTATCTTGTCTTAAAGCATGACAAAACATGTGTAAGAGAGATATTAAGTAATTGAGCATGGGGGCCCACCTAGAAGACTTGTACCTAGGGCCCAGAATTTGGTGCTACGCCCCTGACTGTAACTGCAGACAGTGAGAGGATAGCTCCGAAGCCAAGAAACATCTCCCACCTGCGCACAACTACTGATGTCGCGTGACTCCAGTCTGGATTAAAGACAACTCTTTCGCATGCATGGCTTTGGAGAATCCTGGGGTGTAATCTGTGTTGAAACCTTGTGCTCTTGATTTTTTACTTTTAACCTTTTATATTTGATATATTATATCTTAAAATGCTTCTGATTTATTTTTCTTATTGCTGTGTTTCACCCGTTCCTCTAACCAAACGAAGCCTTTTCCAGGCCTGGAAGCCTGCAGCTGCTTTATCTCTGGTTGGTTCACCTGTTAGAGATCCGAGAAGCTTTAAATGATGATCGTCTTGTTTTTGCTCGGGTTAGTAGTGAGTTGTGCTGTTTTATTCATTAGCTCATGATAATAATGCTATCGCTAATGCTAACGATGAGCTAGGATCTACTTGTAACTAACTTTTGATGACTTTTAAATCCAAATTTCTGATTGGTTGGTTTGGTTCTAATAAATCTACAACACTAAGCTAACTGCTAAAAACATTAGCACTCTGAAAGCTGTTAGTAGTGAGGACACGTGGAACCAGTCTGCCCCCAAGTGTTAACCTGTGGTTTTTATGGCTGTTTCTAAGCAACAGCTGAGTAAATAACTGAGTAATCACTTAGCTGGTAGAAAGTGATCTCTGTAAACTCCGTGGATTACTGATTCACTTCTGCATCTTCTTTCAGTAGATGCAGAAGTGAATTTATACATGTACATATCTATCTATCTATCTATCTATCTATCTATCTATGTACAAATGTATATACATATATATATATATATAAATAAGTACATATATATATATATATATATATATATATATACAGTATATGTATATATATATATATACACATATATATGTATATGTATATATGTATAAGTATATATACATATGTGTATATATATATGTGTGTGTGTGTGTATGTATATATATATATATATATATATATATATATATATATACATATATATGTACACACACATATATATGTATATATATATACATTATATATATATATATACACATTTTATATATATATATATATATATATATATATATATAAACATATATGTATATATATATATACACATATATATGTACACACATATATATATACACACATATAGATATATATATACACACATATACATATATATATGTTTATATATATACATACATACATACATATATATATATATATATATATATATGTGTATATATATATATGTGTGTGTGTATATATATATATATATATATATATATATATATATATATATATATATATATATATATATATATATACATATACATATATATGTACACACACATTTATA